GCTTTGCAAGCATTGACTCAATTTAACTTCACTCGATATGAGGTCACTGGTGGAGAGGTGGGTACTGAATCCTAACAGAACACTGAGGACAGAAGAGAGGAAAGAGTAAACAGAAACAACTCTCTTGAGGACTTTTGTTCTAGAAGGGAAAACAAATGGGATAATGGGGCTGCAGGGCAAGGATTTTTGTTTTTAAGACCTCACATCATGTGGCAATCTAGGGAATCAAAAATTAAACACAGGAGAAAGTAGCTCATGGCTAGGAAATTTCAAAGGCAGCAAGGAAGAACCAGAAGGGTGGCCTTCTCGTGGAGGTGTTCCTTAGTCATGTAGTAAGACTGCATGCAGCCCCTGCCATCGCGCCTCCCACCCACTCTGCTCAAGTGTACTCCTTGGTAGTTATGCTGGACAGCAAATTGGATTTGCCCTCTCAGAATATAAGCTTCACGAGAGCAGGAGTTTTGCCTGTTTTGCTTACAGCTGTAGCCCGAATGCCCCTGACAGTCCTAGAAGAAATACATTTTGAATGAAGTCACGTGGGCAAGTGGAGTGGTTGGTCCTGGAGGGGACACAGAGCCCAAGCACAGAGGAGGAGGCAGGGCAGAGAAGCAGAGATCTTGGGATGACAGGGGGGTGTGGTCTGGCTCTGTCACTCTCTTCTGAGGGCCACTCCTGGGTAAGTGTAAAATAGCAGGCTAGACACCATTTTCTCTTAGACACTACACTGTCTCCCGGTACAATAAAATTTCATCATGAAGGGGCTTGGAATTTTCTTAAGTTTTCAAAAATCTAGCAATACATACATATATGAAATAAGTATATCAAATCAGCAATTTCTGAAGGAAAAAAAAACTTAAGAATTAAAAAATTAGCACCTATCGGGCCTCCCCTGGTGGCACAGTGGTTGAGCGCTGGGTTACGAGGCTGCCCGCAGCCTCTGTAGCATCAGTTCAATCCCTGGCCACCAGCGAGGGTCTCACCAAAAAAAAAAAAAAAAAAAAAAAAAAAAATTAGCACCTATCTCAGAAGCTGGCAAACTACAGCCTGAAGGGTGCAGCTGACCTGCCTCCTGTTTATATAAAGCTTTGTTGGGACATAGCTGCACCCAGTGGCTTGCTGACTGTAAACTACCAGGTCAGAGCCCTGTAGCTGTGACAAAGAGCAGATGGTCTCAAACCCAAATTTGCTATGAACCCTTTAATGAAAAGTCTGCTGACCCCGCATCCAGCTCAAGACAGAAACACCACTTTTGCTACTTCCTGCATGCCTCCTCCCAGCTGAGCATTTTCCCCTCCCTGTGAGGAAACGACTACTACCGAAATCTTGGGTTAGTTGCATTTCTCTGCACTTTGCATGTATCCCTCCACACTGTACTGTATTTAGATTTCCCAGCTTGCATTTGATGAGTGAAATCGCACTGTGTTCTTTGGGATCCTATTTTTTTTTGCTCAGATTCTGAGTGAGAAGATTCTAGAGACCCCGTCATGTTGACAGCATAGTTACTGCTCAAAGAATGTGCTTCATGGCTGACTGTCCCACAGGGAACATGACCCAGAAGTGAAGCAGAATTGCTGTGTCTCCCCAGAGCAGTGCGTGGAATTTGCCAGTACAGTGCTTGGCTTTATCAGACACAGTTTTTGCGAACCTAGTGTTTTAGTGACTAGTTGTTTTTCTATGAGTGCTCATGTGGTTGAGCATCTTTCCATATATTGATTAGCCTTCTGTGTTTCTTCTGTGAAATGACGACTCATGCTTTTGTCAATTGATAGTTTTGCCTTCTGCTTTTAAACTGTGGTAGTTCTTTATGCATTTCAGATATTAATCCACCATTGGTTTTACCTCTGGCAAATATCTCACCTCAGCTTGGGACTGATCTTTTATTTCTCTGAATGGAATTTTTTAATAAATGAAAGTTCACAATTTTAACCATTTCTCTTCATAAGAGGTATATATTTGATCACTTAAGAAATCCTTCTCCACTCCAAGATCACAGAGCTTGTTCTATTTTGTCTTTTACAGGTTTTAAAACTTGCCTTTGGGATTCACTTTTGCATGTGGTGTAAGATAGAAATTGTCTTCCTTTTCCTCACCAATGGATAATCAATGAATCAAAAGCTCATCACTTGCCTGATTTTCCAAAGCCACCTCCACTGTACCTAAAATCCCAAGCACATGTGGTCTTTCCTGCAATCTCCACTCTGTTCCATCAGTCTACTTCTGGAGCTCTGTGCCATTACTAAGTAGCTTAGTTAGTGTTGCCCTATATTGATGGTCTCGCTATTTGGTTAAGCAGGTTTCTATGATCCATTCTTTTCCTTCTCGTGTGTCTTCACCATTCCTATAACTTTTCTATATCAATACAATGGAATCAAAACTACAGAAAATCCCACTGGGATTTTGAACTGGAAATATATTCACTCCAGAGATCATTCTGGCGTGAAATGAAGTCTTCAATATAGTGAGACTTCCTGTTCATGAATATGGTCATGTTTTTCTGCAACTATTGGTGACCACATGAATATGCCCTTTTAATGTATTAATGTGGTAAATTATATTAATAGATTTTCTAGTATTATCAATATTACATGTCTGGAATAAATTATTATGAATTATGATTTTTTACATTCGCTACTACTTTAAGACTTTTACAGCTATCTTAATCAGTTAAATTGGCTGATAAACTTTCTTGTAGTGTGTCCTTATGTAGCTGACTGGCAAAGTTTATAAAAGTACTGCCAGAAAAGCTGGGGTGTATTACCTCTTTTTTTTGAGACATTTAGGAGTTTGTCTAATATTGAAACTATTGGTTTCTTGAAATGTTTGATAAAACATATCTTTTAAAAAATCTAAGCTTGGCCATTTTGGGGAAAAATACATATTGATTCAATTTCTATAAGTTAAGTGACCTACACAATCTTTCTATTTCTTGTTGATTAAATTTTGGTAAATTATATTTTTCTGTTCATTTCACCTGTTTTCTAACTAAGGTGACATAACATTGATGATACTATTATGATTTTTAAAATCTCTTTGACATTGCTCTTTGTACATGTTGATTTATCCTTTTATTTCACTTTAATTTTGGGAAGGAACAGAAATAACTGTGTTTAACACACTGTGTCTATCTAAAAAATCACAGAGAAGGTACATCTTTATTTATGACATGGGATAATAGCAGACCCATTACAAACTGATGTAGTGAGGATTAAATGCGTTAATAGCAAAACACACAACATAGTACCTGGGCTGACAAATACCATCATGACATTACAGGGAATTCAGTTCTACTGTGATGATGTCGTGTTTTTGTTTTGCTGAGGTTTAATACTCCAAAGCACCAGTAACTGGCTTGGGACTAGACTTTCTCAAATGCACTTATTCTATTTGACTTCATTAAGCTGCAGTGATAAACCTGGTTGGTCATGTCTCTTTCTGAAACTCAGTCTGGGGGTTTAGGCCCCAAGAATTTGAACTACACTTAGAGTTTAAAAATAAAATGCACAACAAAGCAAGAGGTTGACTATGGACTGCTTTTTTCCCTGGAGGGCAAGGGCCATGCTTCTGTCACCTACTATGTGCTGAGTCTAGCACAAAGCAGGCAATCTAAAAACTGGTGAGTTTGTGACAAGCAAACAATACCAAAGAAATAATAATGCAGCCATGATGAAAATCATAGAGCTAATTATAATAGTCTCACAAAGGTTTCATTATTAGATGTCTTGTCTTCATTGGTGAACACACACCTGATTTTATCCACAGCCCCTTCACTTGGAAAATTCCCACTATAAGAAGGTCTTTCAACCTCTAACAGGGACGTGTCTGTTAGGTATGCTACTCCCTGTCAGTTCCTGTAAGTAAGTTTTACCTCAAAAGAAAAAAAAAATCGGTAAACAAATATTCAATGTTAATTAATAATACACATACTCAATTATTTAGGGGAAAGCATTCTGATGTCTGTGACTCAGTTTGAAATACATCAAAAAATAAGCTAGATTGAAGGGTGGTATGAGCGATGAATAGATGGATAAATATGTACCATAGCAGGCAGAATAAAGTATTAATGGCAGAATCCATGTGGAACTCTATGGGTAATTCGCTGTAAAATAATTTCAACTTTATGTTGGAGAGTTTTCATAACAGAAAATGGGGAAAAACATAAACTAATATGCAGCAAGTTAAAAGACCAAAATAATGGATATGAAAAATATTTGTATTTTATATACATAGCAAAGTTACTATAATATATAAGGAGTTCATTCCAATTAAAAAAAAATCAAGCTCTTTGAAATGGGAAACGACTTTAACAAAATACAAATAGAAAATTATTTGGTTATCTTTAATAAAAAAATAAAATTAGAGCAAATCTATAAGCTTATTTCATATCTACGTTATTGACAAAATTAAAACCCATATGCAAGAACATACACAATTCTGGCATAATTCACTGCATTGGGTCAGTGAAAACAGGACACTCTACACAGCTGCAGTGGGCAAGCACAGCTGTGCAGGAAGTGACCTGGCAGGAAACAGACCATGGCGTTTACACAGCCCTGTGACCTGGCAGTCCCTCTCCTTAGAATATGGACTTTATCAGTTAAGAGCAGTAAGATGTTCACTGCAGTGTTATCTACTAAAAGATTAAACTGTGAACAAACTAAATGGCTGTCAAGAGAAGAAATATTGAGCATATTGGCTCATCAGTACGATGGAATATGGGCCAGACATTTAAAAAACAAGGGTGGAAGCTCACGTGGGAATAAGCACAGTGTTCACAACACATTATCAAACAGAAACTATAACTGGTGGCGATGTTTGAAGAATAAATGATTAAACTGTGAACTGTACATTGGCACTGAAAAGAAATATGAATAACTAATGATAATGACATGTTACCATTTGAGGAAGTTGTGGCTGATCTCTTTTTTCTAAAATTTTCTTGAATCTTTCCCATACACTTTTCAATTAAAAGAATGAACAAGCCCATCTTGAGACATACTCACAGTGCTGAGTTTGCTGCAAATGATGAGGATCCGGCGTTCATAGAGCATACTGGCGTACAGATGTAACATGTTGTTTACATCCACAGCCACAAAATATTCTGTCAGATTTCTCTAGGAGGAAGAAGAAGGGGAGGTTGGTTGGTGGCTGATTTTGCTTGTTCTTATTACAAGCAATAGCTAATAAGAGCATGAAAAGCAGAAATAATCAGAAGTAATAATAATCAAAAATAATCAGAAATAATCATTTTCCCTGTCCTACTCTTTCGACCTGGCGGACCAAATTCCTCTCATGCATGAAGTCAGGAAATGCAGCGACCTGAGAACTGAATGAGGCAGCGACACCTCTGTGTGGGGTGGGGCCAGACATAGGGCTGCGTTGCTCTTCATATCAGTTCTGAGAGGTGAGCAGGACAGGAAGTCTGCAGTCTTACAAATGATAAAACCAAGACCAGATATATACATACATACATATACATGTATACATACATACATACATACATACATACATACATATAGACACACACACACACACACACCCCAAGATCAAAAAGTCTAATAAGCGATGAAAATGGGATTGCCACTCAGATCTTATGACCCCAGATCCTAGCACTTTCCCAAGGCACTGTGCCATATAAATAAGCAAAGAAAGTGCCCGGGGAACAAAAAGCTGCTGGCACACAGCCTGTTTCTGCCCAATGGCTGCCCCCGCGAAGGCCGGCCGGCTCCTGGCCTGTCAGCACTGCTGGCGCCCCTCCTCCACATTCTCTAAAACGGCTCAGCTGGAATTAAAGCAATTTCGAAGATTTACAATTTCCAGGTATTTCACTCAAAGGGGGGAAAAATCGAAGACAAGTAGCAGCAAGTTGTGAAAAAGCAGTGTCTTAACTAGTGTTTGTCTGGAGCCTGGACCTTGTTCCCTAATTAGTACCATGGATTGGTACCTTTTGGATTTCAGGAAAACATAATGTGTTTCATCAATTCCAAAGAACACCTGCACCCTATGAGCCTACAATAGCTATTGCCCATGAATTATGTGTACATATATACCATTTTCAGCATTCAGTAAAACATCATTTCATGGGATCATCACATACATAGCAGGTAGTACATTATAGTGTTATGAACAGAGACACATTTCAGAATGCAATTGTATGGGGCATAATGTGTTTCATTTCTGCAACCCCCTCTATACCCATCTGACTTTAATAATACACATGAATATGCTAAGTTCTTCAGCGTTACAGGTTTTCAATGGCATACAATCTAGTCCTCAGAAAACCAGGAGGGTTGGGGAGGGGGCAAAGAAATGCTATTGCCAGGGGGTGCTGTTTACAGTGACTAAAGATCTATAACCCCAAAATCCAAGTAAAGCAGGTGGATTTTACATGCAAAACAGCATCAAATGCTTTACAACAATATTATGAGTTGGGAATAAGAACGGGTACTTATTTTATGATTTATTATTGTTTGATCGGAGCACCAGGTTAACTGGATATTTATAAACAAAGAGTGAGTGTATTAATAGCTCCACATGCAGACTAACTATCCAGCACCAGGCACTTAACAAGGTACTTTTGTCTGCAATCCTAGGCAGTCTTCACAAAGATCCGAGGAGGTGGCACTCTTTCCAATATATAAACCATATTTGGTGGGGTCAGATTTTGGACTCGGATCCAATACCATAGCCACGAACTTTCCTTTACATTATACTGACCCTCTTGAAGACTTTTAAACATCTTAACATACAAAGAAGGCCTTATCTATATTATTTCACTTGACTTGAAACCACTCCTTGAACAAATAGGTGTTGTTATCCCTATATACAGATAAGAACACAGAGAAAGTGAAGTCAGGTGACCAGCATTGTGCAGTAAGTATTGGGTCTGGGGTGGGTTTGTCTCTAAACCTGTGTTTTTTTAAATCATATACCCCTAAAAGCAGCAGGCAAAAGTTGCATTTGGAAAAAGAAAGCATGACATAGGATCAAAGCAGGATCAAAGTTCTTAAAGAAAGAGAAACAAAGTTTCTGTTAAAAATCACTGCTATCCCATTTATTGAGGATTGTGTGTCCATGGCAGGGAAAGGGCCTGTGTTTCCTCTGATTTTCAACAGCTCCGAGAAAGGCAATATTATCACCATCTTCCAGGTCAGAAAACAGAGGTTCAGGAGGGTTAAGCTGTCCTGCCAAGGTCAACATTCAAACCCAGCTTGCCTGAATTCAAAACTCTTGCTCTCACTACCGTACCCATGTGCCTCTGCGACTTAGAAAAATAAAACAAAACAAACAAGAAAGGCCATTGGAATCAATCAACAAGTGCATCTTGGCCTAGTGGACCAGGAGTGCTGAGCTAATGATGTCAGGGCGAGGTCTGTTCCGAAGACAGTGACATGGCAGAGTTATTCTTGCAAACAGAAATACAAGGCCCTCAGCTGAGCTCTGCAGTGAAATGCTTAACTGCTGATGAATTCCATGAATTTTTCTTTTAAGGAGAGGATGGAAGTAAAAAGAAAATAGAAAATGAGGAGCTTAAAGAAGGCCAGAAAGCCCATTAGCACTTTTGACAGATCCAAAGATAACTCTGAAGCCACCAAAACGTGGCCTCAAGAGTCTGCCAAGAAGCTTCCCGCTGGGTAGAAATATGTTACACAGCTTGCCGTCCAAATAGGGAGACACAGCGTCAGAGACAGATCCTGCGCCTTATTTTGGTGGGAGAAAAAAAGAACCACGAGGCTGCTTTTGTGGACGGGGAGAGGGAATGGTTCTGAAATAAAAACACAACTTGGCTGTGGTGTAACCCCCAGGCCACTCAGGTTCTGAAGGTCTCAGGAGCTTGATCCAAAACTCTACACAGGTAGGTTAAAAATATGTAACATTTCGCCAAATTCTCTCTAAACTGTCATGTACTTTTTTGGTATTTCTCATCCCATCTGTGCTGATTACCAAGATATTTGTGTCTAAACAGAAGCTGTCTTTCTTATCTGCTTCCTCCCCTGCCTCTTTCCTTCTGGGATGCCACCCGCCTAGGCAGGTGGGAGTGGGTGGGAGTGGCAATAGCTCTGGGAACCTCGCTCAGCCGTGGGAGCACCTGCGGGGCAGAGCAGACCTTGGCAGAAGCTGTAGGGATCACTTGCACTTCCCACCACGTCACATCTCAGAAGAAAACCCCTTGGGGAGAGGGGTCTCCTTCCCCGTGTCCTTAAGCATCCAGTGGTTTGGTTTGCGCCTCACCCACTCTCCATTTCTCAACCTTCTCATACTTTTTCACACCTGAAGGGCTTTACCTCTGCCATCTCTCTGCCTAGAGTGCTCTTTTCTGCTTTGAGGACAGTCACTGGCAAATGTCACCTCCTCCTGGAAGACTTCCGGGATTCCTCCATAGTCAAACATCCCTTTGTTCTTCACCACACTTTATCCCTATGTAATATCACTCAATTACAAGTACATTTTTGTGACTAGACTGAGGTCCCTCTGGGTAAAATAATGTAGCCCATCATGTATGAGATTGATGAAAGAATGAAAGAGGAGCCCAAGAACCTGACTAGAAAGCACTGACTAGAAACTCCTGCTCCTTAGCTGGAATGTTAGTAGTATGGTGTAAGAAGTAGTATGCAGCCTTGCAAGAGTGACAGGGTGGTGTGCTAGGAAGAAACAGCATTTGCAGAAGTTTGGGTCTGAGTTGGATGACTTGATTAATTAGTGAGGGAAAGAAGAGAGTGGAGACTCACAGAGTCAGAGAATCAGCTGAGACAGTTGGAGGAAAGGCTTTTGAAGGTATCTGTGGCTACATTTATTACAACTGTAAAGAAATAAGTGGTTTAAGCACCAGGTGACTGGAGTTGGGGGGGGGGCACAGTACACAGAAGGATTCAAGGCCAATCATATTTCTCTGACAGGTCAGATCAGTGTGTAGGACACAGGGAATGAGAGAAGGCATTCATGGCAAGCCATGCTAAGACCATGTCCTAGGTCAAGACTGTAGTCAGCAGGCACTGTGGGCTTACATGCACAGAAGGCATGAGGTGTGCCCCTATTCTTGCAGTTGGGTTCAGTGGAACTAAGTCTTCAACCTCCCTTTTCTATCCCCTATAAACAGCCCTCAACACACACTGATTTAACTCCTACCCTGTGCTTCTGGGAGCTGGGTCTGCAGGCATAACTAGACCTGACCCTCATTTCCCAGGAACTAGCACGGGCCTGGGAGGGCATCAGACCTAAAAACCTGGTGTGCAAAGCCCACAGTGCAGGCCACACACTCCAGGGCAGACAGAGAAGAGCAGACTCTACTCTGCCAGATGGATTTGGGGGGCAGGCTAAGGAAGACTTGACAGAGGAGAACATATTTGGTTTGAGTCTTCCAATAGGGGTTTGTGCGGTGGATGGGGGAGAAGACACGTTCTGGGCAGAGACAAAGGCAGGACGGGGACAGGAGCCCAAGCAGGTGTGCAGCATGAAGCCTAGGGTGCAGGCAAGGCAGCCGGGTCCAGGGACTGCGGAATCCCAGTCCAGAGCTGTATGCAACAGAGCTGCTAATGGTGCATGATTCTGTTATGCTGGCGTTTCAGGAAGACCTTCCTAGGGATCCTGCAGAGGGAGCACATGAAAGGCGGGCAGGAGGTTGGCAATCTGTTAACATGCTAAGGTAATGTTCAGAGGAAGAAATTTTAAAAAAACTGACAAACTATTCATATGAAAACTTTGGAAATGCATGTGACAGATCTCTGTAAAGTTAAAATCACAGCACTTGACAATGAATCAGACTTGAGAAGGGAGGGGGATCTTGGACAGTCCCCCTGCATCCAAGTTACTGGGCACTACACTGCCCACTTGCCCGAATGGTGTTTTAAAAGGATAGTCCATTCATTCAATGTAGAATCAACCACCAATCCAGTCAGTCATGGTGTCTTGCCTACCTCATCTCCGGCCTTGTGTCCTGGAGATGATGACACATGGCTGACCCTACAGAACCCCTCCTCGGCCCCTGAAGTTACTTCTGTGTGATTCACCTTTGAGGAAAGGAAAACCTTGCTGAGAGGTACTGTTTCCCAGAGTCCGTGCTTAAAAGGGCTCAGTTTTCTCAGTGCCCACATGTTGTAGGCTTCAGAACAGTCTT